GCCAACCCGTCTCTAGCCCTGCCTCTAACCCCACCACACTCGCCAACCCGTCTCTAGCCCTGCCTCTAACCCCACCACACTCACCAACCCGTCTCTAGCCCTACCTCTAACCCCACCACACTAGCCAACCCGTCTCTAGCCCTGCCTCTAACCCCACCACACTCACCAACCGGTCTCTAGCCCTACCTCTAACCCCACCACACTCGCCAACCCGTCTCTAGCCCTGCCTCTAACCCCACCACACTCACCAACCCGTCTCTAGCCCTACCTCTAACCCCACCACACTCGCCAACCCGTCTCTAGCCCTGCCTCTAACCCCACCACACTAGCCAACCCGTCTCTAGCCCTGCCTCTAACCCCACCACACTCGCCAACCCGTCTCTAGCCCTGCCTCTAACCCCACCACACTCACCAACCCGTCTCTAGCCCTGCCTCTAACCCCAGCACACTAGGCAACCCGTCTCTAGCCCTGCCTCTAACCCCACCACACTCGCCAACCCGTCTCTAGCCCTGCCTCTAACCCCACCACACTAGGCAACCTATCTCTAGCCCTGCCTCTAACCCCACCACACTAGGCAACCCGTCTCTAGCCCTGCCTCTAACCCCACCACACTAGGCAACCCGTCTCTAGCCCTGCCTCTAACCCCTCCACACTCACCAACCCGTCTCTAGCCCTGCCTCTAACCCCACCACACTCACCAACCCGTCTCTAGCCCTGCCTCTAACCCCACCACACTCATCAACCCGTCTCTAGCCCTGCCTCTAACCCCACCACACTCACCAACCCGTCTCTAGCCCTGCCTCTAACCCCACCACACTCGCCAACCCGTCTCTAGCCCTGCCTCTAACCCCACCACACTCGCCAACCCGTCTCCAGCCCTGCCTCTAACCCCACCACACTCGCCAACCCGTCTCTAGCCCTGCCTCTAACCCCACCACACTAGCCAACCCGTCTCTAGCCCTGCCTCTAACCCCACCACACTCGCCCACCCGTCTCTAGCCCTACCTCTAACCCCACCACACTCGCCCACCCGTCTCTCGCCCTGCCTCTAACCACACCTACACTAGCCAACCCGTCTCTAGTCCTGCCTCTAACCCCACCACACTCGCCAACCCGTCTCTAGCCCTGCCTCTAACCCCACCACACTAGACAACCCATCTCTAGCCCTACCTCTAACCCCACCACACTAGACAACCCATCTCTAGCCCTGCCTCTAACCCCATCACACTAGGCAACCCGTCTCTAGCCCTGCCTCTAACCCCACCACACTAGACAACCCGTCTCTAGCCCTACCTCTAACCCCATCACACTAGGCAACCCGTCTCTAGCCCTGCCTCTAACCCCACCACACTAGACAACCCGTCTCTAGCCCTGCCTCTAACCCCACCACACTCGCCAACCCGTCTCTAGCCCTACCTCTAACCCCACCACACTCGCCAACCCGTCTCTCGCCCTGCCTCTAACCACACCTACACTAGGCAACCCGTCTCTAGCCCTGCCTCTAACCCCACCACACTCGCCAACCCGTATCTCGCCCTGCCTCTAACCCCACCACACTCACCAACCCGTCTCTAGCCCTGCCTCTAACCCCACCACACTCGCCCACCCGTCTCTCGCCCTGCCTCTAACCACACCTACACTAGCCAACCCGTCTCTAGCCCTGCCTCTAACCCCACCACACTAGGCAACCCGTCTTTAGCCCTGCCTCTAACCCCACCACACTCGCCAACCCGTCTCTAGCCCAGCCTCTAACCCCACCACACTAGCCCACCAAACTAGAGCCCTGCCCGACATCATCATTATCCACCGCTTGATGATGAATGTGCTGTAAGCAATCCACCCATTAAAGTTATTTATCAGGCGAATTGTTGCATCGCAGGATGTGTGGCGACAGATTGGGAAGGACGTTGATCCAGCAGTGGACCGAGCATGGCTGCTGATGATTACGACCATATCCTTGAATCCACAAAGCCAAAGGTGCAGCCATATAGCCTGCATGGAGTGCTGGGGTAAGTACTATTAAAGTCATACCTCCTAATGCACAAAGATAAAGCTGCGCCACATAGCCCACATTCACTCATGGGGCAAGTGCTGTTAAGGCCGTAACCCCCAACACACACAGGAGCACTCTAAATGCTCCCAATCGCACACGTGCGCGGCTCTCGTGCGTTCGCTGTCGTCACGCAGAGCTCAAAGTCCCCCCCCCCACGACGTTTCGTCTATTGGAGGGATAAGCAAACACAGCAGTCGCAGGGGCTTGAGAAGCCGTCCACACCGAGACCACGCACTCAGCACGCTACAGCTCACAACAACAAGCTCACCCAGCCACTCACACACTCATTCGCTCACCCAATCGGTCACCCACTCGTCCACTCGCCCACTTATTCGGTCACCCAGCCACTCACCCACTCATTCGCTCACCCAGCCACTCACCCACTCATTCGCTCACCCAATCGGTTACCCACTTGTCCACTCGCCCACTCATTCGCTCACCCAATCGGTCACCCACTCGTCCACTCGCCCACTTATTCGCTCACCCAGCCACTCACCCACTCATTCGCTCACCCAATCGGTCACCCACTCGTCCTCTCGCCCACTCATTCGCTCACCCAATCGGTCACCCACTCGTCCACTCGCCCACTCATTCGGTCACCCAGCCACTCACCCACTCATTCGCTCACCCACCCGCTCGCATACTCATTCGCTCACCCAATCGCTCACCCACTCGTCCTCTCGCCCACTCATTCGCTCACCCAATCGGTCACCCACTCGTCCACTCGCCCACTCATTCGGTCACCCAGCCACTCACCCACTCATTCCCTCACCCATCCGCTCGCATACTCATTCGCTCACCCAATCGGTCACCCACTCGTCCTCTCGCCCCCTCATTCGCTCACCCAATCGGTCACCCACTCGTCCACTCGCCCACTCATTCGCTCACCCAATCGGTCACCCACTCGTCCACTCGCCCACTTATTCGGTCACCCACCCGCTCGCACACTCATTCGCTCACCCACTCGCCCACTCATTCGCTCACCCAATCGGTCACCCACTTGTCCACTCGCCCACTCATTCACTCACCGAATCGGTCACCCACTCGTCCACTCGCCTACTCAGTCGGTCACCCACCCACTCACCCACTCATTCGCTCACCCACTCACCCCACCGGCTCGACCCAATCACCCAATCAGCCACCCGCTCTCTCACCCGCACCCACTCGTCCACTCGCCCACTCGCTCGTTCACTCATTCAGGGTGGCATCAGCTTCGGAGCGTCACGTGTGTATGTTTTTTTCTTTCCACGTTTGTCTGATTTATGGGCCCAGGAGGAGCCGCCTGGCCGCTCGTTAATCATTGACGAGGACACCGAGACGAGGGCTTGTTTTTTTTTTCTGTTCGTGGAGCGAACCTCTTTACAGACAAACAGCACGCGAGCGTTGTGACGTCAATGATAAGGTGGGGGGGCTACAGCTGTTTGGGCTGGGGGGGGCCGCCTCGGGCGTGGGGGAAGAAGGAGCCCTACCCCCCTCCTGGGATCGAGCGTTGCCACCTTGCACGCGTGGGCTTTGCCTCTGGTTGCCTCGCCGCAGCGCCGCGCGCAGTGTAAAACAGCGCTCGTGATTTGGCCGAAAACATCTTCACCTGTTACGCCACCTTCATGCGCGTCGTTGATCGAGCGACTTTGCATGATGCGGTTTGCACGAATGGCGCCACTGTGTACAGAGTCAATGTTACGACTGTTTTACTATCGTGAATATGATTATCATTAAGATGGTAGGAGGGAGGTAGGCGAATACGATCAGGAAGGACTAGAGAGAGGTGTGAGAGATGGAGGTGGTAGGAGGGAGGTCGTTGGGGGGGGGGGTTCTAGGGAGGACGGAGGGAGGAGGGATGGAAAAGGGATGGAGGGAGGGAGGAGGGAGTGGAGGGGAGGAGGGAGAGGAGGGTGGAGGGAGGAGGAAGAGGAGGATGGAGGGAGGGGAGGAGTGAGATAGGGTGGAGTGAGGGAGTGTGGTCGAACGAAGGGCAGAGTGGGGGAGGAAGGGGAGGATGGAGAGAGAGAGAGTGGGGAACGGGGGGAGGGATGGGAGGGAGGAGTGATGGAGAGAGGAGGATGGAGGGAGGAGTGGGGGATGCGATGGGAGCTTCAGAATGACTTTGCCAGGCGTTGTGCCGCGTGTGTCTCAGGCGGCGCACTGCGAGTTCGTCAGCGGTTTCCGTTTCGTGTCCACGTCTGCAACAACAAATCTTGTTGAAAATTGAGTGAATTCTACAACAACACCACCATCACCACCATCATCACCACCGCCGCCGCTCGTGCATCAACCACAATCCACCTCTCCGAGTCGAGGCACCACTCGCAATAGCGACGTCACGGCGAATTCGTGAACACTATCAGGAGGCACTTCGTGGGCCACCTGTAGCGTCATCTGTCTCCTATGAAGAAGACACAACTGCCCGCAAAGTAGTCTTCTATAGGATCCATATTCTTTGGTTTTTTCGGTAAAGTCACTTGATACAGCTATCGTGCTGTGACGGTTCCACCTGAAGACGGAAGCTTGTGTTGCCTCCGAAACGTCGTGATTTTTATTTTATTTTATTTAACTTTTATCAATTATTTTTTTTTACCTACGTGACTTTACCGGAAAAAACCTAAGAATATGAATCCTTGCAGTCACGAAAGCTTCAAATCTAGAATTCTATAGGATCCCTTTCCTCGCGGGGCATTGCTATTGACGAATGCGTGCATTCATCACTTCGTTTGTGCCTGTGCTGTTGCACCACTACCAACTCAGCACCACCACCAGCACCACCACTACCAGCAGCAGCAGCGAATTTTCCTGAGCTTCGCGGAGTACTCGCTCACTCTCATCCGTACGCCACGTGGGTGAGGATCCAACGACTTTCACTCACTCACTCGCCCCCCCCCCCCCCCCCATTCTCCCAACCAACTCCCTGAACTGTGCCTAAGACCGGGCGACATGAAGATGCCTTTGAAGAGGCGACGAGGTGAGGACCTGGTGACGCGTCAAGATGATGACGAGGATGAAGCGGCGATAGAAGACGACGACGACGATGATGATGATGATGAGGAGGAGGAAGATGACGAGGAGGCATCGCGCATGGCTTCTGGAAAAGCCCCCGGCTACCAGAATTGCATTAAGTCCGGTAAGTTTGTCTTTCGCGTCTGCGCTGTCTTTTGAACTTCTTTCGCACCGTACGTAGCCAGCCGCGCTAGTCGGATGTGCGGGAGGGAGCAGGGAGTGAGGATATTTAACCCGAACCGACCATCGACTCGTTGTGACGAATACGATAAGCGGGGTTTTGATCCTGTTGAGTAGTTATATTGGAGACTGTTAGTCGCCTGTGGTGCAGACTTTGGTTGCTAGTTCACCAGATGGCAGGATGGCAGTGGATCCTTGAATCTGTCTGTGCGGGGATTTGAACGTTACCAACCTCGCATGAATGAATGAACGCGCGGTGGATCGGGATATCGGGGTTCGCTGGGTTTTTCGCCACAATTATCATCCATAATTGATGCGCTGTATTAACGCCCTCCTGATAACGAGTCTTGAGACTCAGCGAGGCTTTTCCTGGGCAAGCGGTGCCTGCCCTGACCCTGTCGGAGGAACGGATCAACGCGAGTGAGTGACTGCGAGCGTTAACGGGTGCTACTCGCTAACAGCACTTGCCCCAAAAAAGTCTGTAAAGGCTACACGGGGATCTTTGTCTCTATGTGAGTGAGTAAATGAGTGTGCGTGAGTTCGATTCCCTCTGACGACCAACACCAGGGACGATGATCACAACCGGTCCTGGGCCTTCCCTAGGTCGACTCGGCCTCAAATGAGTACCTGGTGCGGTGTGTAAACGTCGCCACTAGGGAGACAAAGGCGGCCGGGCGTGGTGTTCGTCACCTACCCCATTTTGTGCCGTGCCGGCCTTCATAGGTGCTGCTCGCTAACAGCACTTGCCCCAACAGTCTGTTAAGGCTACACGGGGGAGCTTTTGTCTGTAGGTGAGTGCGTGAGTCTGTTTTTTCGTGATAGTGTGTGCGTGTGTGCTCGAGTTAATGAGTGAACGTGTATGCGTGTGTGTGCATGAGTTAAGTAAATGTGGTTTGTGTGTGTGTGAGAGAGAGTTAATGAGTATATTCGCGTGTGTGGGGAGCGGTGGCGCAGTGGTCAGCGCGCTGCAATACGAACCCGGCGACTTTAGTTCGATTCCCGACTACGGCTCTCATCAGTGGCGCGTGATATCAAGATCGGGTGTTGGCCTCACCTAGGTCGACGTAGCCAGAAATTTTAACGTGGCTGGTTTAACAAATAACGAGCAGTGGGGGAGACAAATGCGGTCGGTCGTGGTGCACACCACACCGATGCCTCGTGCGACTTTCAGACCTTTCGGAGAATATTTGCATCCGTGTTAGGTGTAGTTTTTGCACGAATTCATCACATTAAATAATGTACATGATCTAGAAACATTCACAAAATATGCACGGTGTGGACATGTTTCGCTTTTCTGTCAATCCACTGCCCTGTCGGTTCGGATGTGGGGGTTGTTTGACCATACTTCACCGCGCTGGTCAGTGCGTGTTTGGTGATGATGGCTCACCGCCGACGTTTGCCGTGACCGAGGATCAATGCTCGCATCGCTGGAGGCGCATTGATAGCGGCAGCGTGCTAACCACTGCGCCACCGCTCCTCCCGTTGGCATGGTCGTGGCGGTGAGGGCGACGGTTGTGGTGAGCGAGCGATGTGAATCGTGGGTCACGCTTTAAGCACTGCCACATCAAGACCCGTCTGTTCAACACGTAGTGGTAGTAGTGGCAGTCTTTTGCGACCAATATTATTCATAATAAAGGTGGGTTTTTTAAGGTTAGATCACGGAAATATATGAATGTGTCGTTAAACCCGCCACCACCCGACGCAGACAATTGTTAAGGTTTGTCGCGGAAACAAAGCGCACCAATTAGTGTACACCGGTGTGTTGGAGAGTAAACCCACAACTCTTTGGTTCTTTCGGTAAAGTCACGTCGAAAGAAATTTAATTCTACTCGATGACGACTGCTTGTGTTGCGATCGAAACGTCGTCTTCTATTTAATTTATTTTCTTTCCACGTGACTTTACCGAAAGAACCAACGAGCAATTACTGCAGTCACGAAAGCTTCAAGTCAAGTTTAAACCCACACCATTAACAAATCGAGCCCGACGTTTCTCTGCCTTTTATTGCAATCAACCCATTAACTATCGCGCGTACTTCTGAAAAGAACGCCTATTGTACTGCTGGTCGCTATCTCATCGTGGCTCTGCATTGGATAGCAATCAATCACTCAACCGCACCCAACGGAGCGACACATCCCAGCCTCCCCAAACCCACGGATGGGTGACCGGGTTCAACATGGCCATGCTTTGATGGATTCGGTCTGTAGTCCCTTAGGTGGTGAAGGTGGTAGTGGCTGACGTCCCATCAAAGCACTAAGCAGGCTCAGTGATGCTTAGCTTCCAAGATCTGACCGAGGTCAGTTTCACCAAATGGGTCTCTTGCAGGTTTCATAATGGCCGTGCTCTGGGTCTGGGTGTCTCTCTGAGCATTTGAACCTCATGGTCCCATAAGCCCCCGGCTCTTGCATAAACATTATATTATAATGTAAACATAAACTTTGCTCTTTTTTCACCAATGGGTTTGAAGGATGGTGGAAAGTGTTGTCTTGTTAAACTATGCATTTAAACTGGAAACTACTTACCTGCAGTACGTCTATTTAAATACACTATCGAAAAAATAATTTACAGCCCTCTGTCAATCGTCGCGTTCCTCAGTGTGGATTTGTGAACACACTTTGTAAACAGTACGTAAAAGAGTACGCGTTTTCAATGCGCTGTTCATATTGTAACAGGCGTTCATACCAATGCTACTCTACAGAGTCGTGGGTCGCCGCTCCTCTTATCCGCATCGATACGAGCGGTATGTGGGGACTATGTGTTAACCGCAAAAAAACTATCTGCACAGATGCATACGGACAAGAGAAGTATTATCAAACAGGAGGAATTAACGGTGCAACGCATCTCATCTGTTAAATATCTGCAGGTAATAGGATTGTCATCGATTGTTCCTGGCAGCAGACATTAGTAGGTCACAAATAATAATGAAGATATGAGAGCAATTTCAATGTATTATGCATACCGTTATGACAAATAAAGGACTTAAGTAGTGTAGGCAGTTTGAGCAGCTTTGGATATTACGACTCATGATCCGGTCCATACCCGAGCGTGGAGTGCATTCGCTTGTTCAGCTCTTCTGCGCATTCGTCCTCGCTGCTGCTGCGTTTGGACACCACGTGACAACAGAACGATCCGTGCCAGGCGGGTAGCGGCGTTTGTGTGCGCGGTGGGACGGAGTCGCCAAAAATAAACTAATTAATTACGATTTTGACTTCCGTGCAATCGGGACCCCGGGGTCCCGCCACAAGGTTCATTTGGCTGTTCATCGTGAGACAGGATACCAATAACGCATTAGTTCAAGCCCTGGTTCTGGGTGTCTCTCTTTCTCAGTGGGTTCATAATGGCCATGTCAGGGTCACTGAGCCAACACCGCTGAGAACCAGGGTTTGAGCCCTGGGTATGGGTGTCTCAGTATTTGGCCATTCATCGTGAGAGATGTTGCTAATAATGCATTGCTTCAAGCCCTGCTTCTGGGTGTCTCGCTCTCTCCCTGTCAGGGGGTTCCTAATGTCAGGGCTACAGAGCCAGCACCGCTAAGAACCTGTGTTTGAGCCCTGTGTCTGGGTGTCTCTTTCTCGGTTAGTTCACAATGGCCGTAATACTGCTCACATTCTGAATGTCCCACAAAGCGCTGTCACAGGGCAGCCCGTTCCTGAACGCAACTCTCACGCGTGCTTCTAAAGAGGGCGCCTATTGTGTTTTGGTCGCTATCGCAGTGTGTGGCTCGCATTGCATAGCGATTAATCACAGCACCGCACCCACCGAAGCGACACAAACACTCAACCTCCCTAACCCAGATGAGGTGGTCGGGTGACTCAGAGCATGGCTTAATTGCAGCCGGAGCTGTCCAGGGCTGAACTCCGGAAAAAAATCCCGGCCCTTCTCCGCCCCGCCCTGCCAGTCATCTCAGTCAGTCAACCCGAATCAGAATCTTTTATTGAGACTGGGGGAATCCGATGAGCTATGAAGCTCTAACTCACACATGTCCGGTAGTTTTCACAGATGTATGTGTGTTGAACCTCTTTCGCACCGTACGTAGCCAACCGTGCTGGATGTCCATGGCAAGTGGGTCCGTCCCGTGACCTCCTGCCATTGTCGACACATCACGTGTCCTCTAAGTGCACCTAGCCTGGCACAAGCGCCGCGGTGTTGTCACCGCCACTTGAGTGGCGAATGGCGGCCGTTGTTGTTGTTGATGTTATTCTTGGAAATTTGTCGCCGGTGTTTTTGGTAAAAGAAACTTCTATTGGCAACACTCAATTGGGATTATTACACGGCTGCACATTGCGCAACACACGGGGACAGCTGCCACTGGGGGTGCCCTTTCAAATGTGTTGAGACGAGGTGTTGATGTGACTAGGAGGGCACTCTGTCAAACACTCACCGTAAGTCCTAATTGGCATTACATTATATGGGATAGGGGTTGCATTGCTTTGTTGAGATATATAAAATTAAACGAAATGTCTCGTATTCTTGGCTCTTTCGGTAAAGTCACGTAGAAGGGAAATAATCAAACAATATGAATATAAAACAATAAAAATTCTCACGACGTTTCGACTGCAACACAAGCAATCGTCATCAGGTGTGAAATCCACAGCAAGAAAATTTTAAAAAAGTAGCGGTTTTTTCCTAGCGTCAGCAGTATCTACGTGACTTTACCGAAAGAACCAAGAATATGAATCCCTGCAGCCACGAAAGATTTAAATCGAAATGTCTCGTGTTTGATATTATCTGAGTGTTGGGCATTCATGTAAATCGCGGTTTATGTGAAGCACTCTTATTATGTTTTATTTTTATTATTTTATTACTTCCCTTCTACGTGACTTTACCGAAAGAACCAAGAAAAAGACACTCTGACACTCATTTATTGGTGTGCAGTGCCCTCTGTAAGTGAATATCGCTTAAGCAGCAGATGCAGAGAGACTTAAATAGAGAGAAAAAATACCCGAATCGCATTACGAATAGAATGTGTATGTGGATGATGTCATAGGCTCAGGCGTGTATAGAGAAAACTCTCCCGATTACTGGAGAGGGTCGATGTGGGTGGTTGATCACCTTCTGTTCGGTATTGCCACATTGTCCATCAAACACCGATTAGTCTACCCACCTCGTGTGTGTGGGTGCCTCCTTGCAGTGGTGAGATGTTAACTCCCTCGCCTGCTATACAGGAGGGTCGTGGGTTCGATCCCGACCCTGACGCCTGCTGTTTATTTGGAGTTTGCGTGTCTCTCTCTCTCTCCCCACGTGTCGGCGTGGACTTATCTCCGGGTCCTCCGGTTTTTCCTTGCACATTTGTAATCAACATCATGCGTTTCGACTATTTGGCTGCGATACATTTCCACGTGATGACAAAGCCACTTCGTTGAGCTATCATTTGTGGCCAGGTCACTTTTGAAAAAAAGCTACATAGCTCAGTGGGCTTTGCTGGTGAAAAACAAAAAACAGGGTTTTTTAAATAGTTAGTACAACTCATTGTGTCTCTCCTAATGTCCGTGTGTCTCTCTTTGTCTCGCCTCATGTTTCCCTCTGTCTCTCCCCCCGTGTATTTTCCCGCACGTGTGTCCGTGTCTCTCCGCGTCTTCCCTCGTGTGCCATTGTGTCTCCGTGCATCTCAACGAGTGTCTCCCTCTCCACGTGTCCACGTGTGCGTGTCGCTGTCCGCGTCTCCATGCCTCTCTCCGCGTCTCTCCTTGTCCGAGCGAGTACCTCCCCTCGTGTGTCATCGCGTCTCCGTATTCATCTCCGCGTGTCTCCCTTCGTGTCTCCACCGTCTCTCTCCCCACACTCCCTCTGCCTGCTCCTCCTCCTTCTCACCCAGACCTCCCTGCACCAGTGGCGGCTCCTGCAAAATCTCTCAGGGGGGGCAAATGTCTGGATGATTGATAAGGATAAGGTCCACCCATGCAATGGATAAATTAACAGCTTAAGCATGTAAAGTCAACTTCACTTATTCTTTGGTTCTTTCGGTTAAGTCACGTCTAAAAATAAAATAATAAATTTTTAGACGTGACTTAACCGAAAGAACCAAAGAATAATTCCTGCAATCACGAAAGCTCCAAATTAAGATGCAACTTCACTTCTTTAATATTAATGAAAAATAAAGTGACTCTTACAATACATCTTGTTTGTTTCTATACTCACTATTATTACAATCCACTCAGTTTCTTTTATTAAAGATTCCACTAGGTGGCGACAAATAATATTGTTGACTGAAACGTGCTTACGTATGATGACGTAAGCACGTTAGTGCGAGCCCTCCCGGAAGCCATAGAGAATGCATTGGAGCGCCCGCCGTTCGAAAAAAAACATCTTTGAATGTAAGTCTATGGGAACACTCTGGGCGATTCTCAGCCAGAGTGAAATCGCCCAAAAAGAGGCGGTACTCCACAGAACGTGACATGACGCTGATTGGACTATATCCAGAGGCACAGTGACGGCTAGCGTAACTCTGTGGTTGAATGACATTGGTGGTGCGTCGCCCAATCGCCCTAATGAAGAAACCGCCCCTGCCCTGCACCCTTCCCTGGAGCGCAGAAGCGCACCCGACACGACCAGCGGCCCACGCGCGCTGGGACGCGGGCAGGGACAACGCCGGGGAGACAAAGACGGACGGGGAGATGGAGCAGTCCACGGGAGGCGTCGGCCCGGACCCCAGGAGCTCTCTGGCGCAAGCGGGACGGGACAAGAAGAGGCAGAGCCTCCTCACGCTGCACTGGTGCCTGACGCACAAAGGGGCCGTCCATAAATGACGTCACCCACCTGGAGGGAAGGGTGGGGGTCAGACATTTGTGACGATGTGTGACGAGCGGGGGGGGGGGGGTTGAGAAATGTGACGTCACATCAAAATGCGCAACTTTAAGTAAATATAGACAACACGTTCTACCTAATTAAATAGACTTTTAAATAAATGTTTTCTCTTCTTGGTTCTTTCGGTAAAATCACGTAGAATAGAAATAATAAAATAATACAAATAAAACATAATAAAATAATTCTCACGACGTTTCGGCCACAATGCAAGCAGCCGTCCTCAGGTGAAGACCAGGTCTGTCGGGGAGACGCTGTTATGTTTATTTTTATTATTTTATTATTTCTCTACTACGTGACTTTACCGAAAGAACCAAGAAGATGAATCCCTGCAGTCACGAAAGCTTTAAATCGAAAAATGTTTTCTGCTACAACATCAGAGTGCAGCGCCACATTAAATAGTTGAAAGCGATTTGAAGCATGTTTTATTTTTGGAAGGGGCAGAGCTTTGTGACGTCATATTTGAGGGGTGGTAAAAAAATCGTCCAAAATCGCGTGACGTCATTTATGGGCGGCCCCAAAGGCAAAGGTCTCCCGCGTAGCCTCCGCCGGGGGGGAGAGCAAGTGCGGTCCAGCGGCTGTCTCTAGAGGGGGGAACTCAACCTGCAGTGAGAGCCCCGAAGTCACGGGGAGGCTGCCGCTTGTGGCGTCGTGCTCAGGGCGTTGAACGTGCCACGTAGAGGGGGGGGGGGGGGGGCAGGGGGTTGAGATTACATCTCACGGCAGTTGAAACAATGTGGGCAAGGTTCTTAAACCCCCTCTCCACACCCCCCCCCCCCCCCGCCGTACCCACCATACCTCTAGCCATGGAGCAGTGTGAGTGTGGGGAGCGGTAGCGCAACAGGTAGCGCCGCACTGCGAACCCGGCGGCCCCGGTTCGATTCCCGCTCACGGCCAACGCCGGTGACGATAATCTGAACCGATCCTGAGCCTCCCCCTAGGTCGACTCAGCCTATAATTAGTACTTGGTACGGCATCGCCACTAAGGGAGACAAAGGCGGCCGGGCGTGGTGCTAGCCACCCACCCCCTCGCGCGCCGTGCCGGCCTTCGTAGGTGCTACTCGCTGGCGGCACTTGCCCCAACAGTCCGTTAAAGTTATACGGGGGATCTTTGTCTTTGTGGTGTGTGTGTGTGCCAAGGCTGGATGAGAACTACATGGTGTGTGAGGGCGTGTGCCTGCCGCGCTGTATCCTCTACACTCACTACCTCGACTTCTGCCGCAAGGAACACCTGGAGCCCGCCTGCGCCGCCACCTTTGGCAAGGTGAGAGACACCCCACCCCCTCCCCCCTCCCCCCTCCCCCCCCCAAAAAGACAAAGATCCCCCGTATAGCCTGAACAAACTGTTGGGGCAAGTGCTGTTAGCTTGCACCTCTCAAGGCCGGCACAGCGCACGAGGGGGTGGGTGGCCAGCACCACGCCCGACCGCCTTTGTCTCCCCAGTGGCGATGTTTACCACACCGCACCAGGTACTCATTTGAGGCTGAGTCGACCTAGGGGAGGCTCAGGCTCGGTTGGCAGCGCGGCGTAGTGCTACTCCACCGCTCCCCACATGCTCACGCGCAAAACGCCTTCACTGTGCCTTTGATGACGATGATGGTTATGATGATGATGAAGATTATGATGATGATGATTATGACGACGATGATGATGATGCTGATTAATTTGTTTTGCCCCAGACCATCCGGCAGAAGTTCCCGCACCTCACCACCCGGCGACTGGGCACGCGCGGTCACTCCAAGTAAGATCTCCTGCGGTGCATTCAAACGTGCTCATCGTCATCATCATCTTCTTCTTCTTTCCTGTGGTGGGAGGGAGAGGGGCGGGGGGGGGATGTCCCCATGACCATGCCGAGGTTGGCGAGTGAGCCGCTGGACGGCTTCAGGAGGAGCCTCGTGGTGAACGTGAGAAGCGCTGCCAGCGAATGGTCACAGTGGGCAGTGAGTGGCCTTACCACGTGGGCCATCGTCTGAGGTATATACCCACGTGGAGGAGATCCATAGACTCGCCTAGAGACTCATAAACTCACGTAGACACACACAGACTCACGTAGATTCACATAGACACCCACATACTCACGTAGACACACACAGACTCACGTAGACTCACATAGACTCGCATAGACTCACATAGACAACCATAGACTCACGTAGACACCCATAGACTCACATAGACTCACATAGACACCCATAGACTCACATAGACACCCATAGACTAACACAGACACCCATAGACTCACATAGACTCACATAGACTCACATAGACTCACGTAGACACCCACAGACTCACATAGACACCCATAGACTCATGTAGACACCCATAGACTCACATAGACTCACATAGACACCCATAGACCCACATAGACTCACATAGACTCAAACAGACACCCATAGACTCACATAGACTCACATAGACTCACACAGACTCACGTAGATTCACGTAGACACCCATAGACTCACATAGACACCCATACACTCACATAGACTCACATAGACTCACACAGACACCTATAGACTCACGTAGACACCCATAGATTCACATAGACACCCATCAATTTACATAGACACCCACAGACTCATACACTCACGTAGACACCCAAAGACTTACATAGACACCCATAAACTCACAGAAATTCATAGACTTGCAGAGACACCCATAAACACTCACAGAAACCACAGACTCACATAGAGACTCAAAGACTGACACAGAGGCCGATAGACCCACGTAGACAAACATCGACAACCCATAGACTCACACAGAGGCCCATAGACTCACATAGAAACCCATAGGTGAAAATAATTAAGTGGGCCGTGGTATTACTATGTGGGACATAGTGTGATCTGTAGACTGACATTGATATTCATAGTCTCTCACAGAGATACATAGATTATTTAGAGACCCTTAGACTCACATAGGGACCCATAGCTTGACATTTATTTAACACACGTCGGGTTAGTTGATCCGCAGGGTCCATATGTTCACATTGAAGTCGGTGCAGGCATTTATCCAGCAAGGCGCCCTGTGGCTGCACATTGCTGAAGTGTCGCGTGCCCGCCCCGATCGTACGGTTACCTGTCTGCGCGACCACCACAGGTACCACTACTACGGGATCGGTATCAAGGAGAGCAGCGAGTACTACCATGCCGTCTACTCGGGGAAGGGCCTCACCCGGTGAGCATCTTGAATCCACAGCGTGGGTTCGTTGTTTCAGTGAATTTCTCCATCCAGCCCGGATATCTTGGTCGACGGATCTCCGATTGCCTGGTGACCATTCCTCAGAACAAGAACTCAGCCTGGTGCCAAGGCCTTGACTTGCACAGCACCCAAGCTAAACTAAAACGAAACATTTTTTTTATTTGACCAGGTAAGGCCCCACTGGGGCTAGGACACCCCGCACCCGTTGGGAGGGGTCCCGGGGGATCCCAGGACAGCCCACAGCTCATTTACGCCCCGACAGATGTAATGTTGTCCTGTACATCTATGGTTCACCCGTCTGTGCTCACCCTCACTTCAGCGTGGTGGAGATTACTCGCCCCTTTCACATATTTGTCTCTCGAACCTAAAATATGGAAGTTCTATTTTTGGCACATCCCATCAGCCACACGTCCTCCTTGATTTGTTATTTTAAGCAGCAAACTCTGGACATGATTCGACATTCAGTGTCTCATCAGCTGGTGAACTGCCGGATATTTCTTGACAAGGACCCTCCTTCTGTCAGATAAGGGGCGCCACGGTGGCTAGGAGATGTTAACTACCTCGCCTGGTATACAGGAGGTCGTGGGTTCGATCCCGACCCTGACGCCTGCTGTATATTTGGATTTTGCGTGTCTCTCTCTCTCTCATCATCATCACGGTGGCTAGATGTTAACTACCTCGCCTGGTATACAGGAGGTCGTAGGTTCGATCCCGACCCTGACATCTGCTGCTGTATATTTGGAGTTTGCGTGTCTCTCTCTCATCATCATCATCACGGTGGCTAGGAGATGTTAACTACTTCGCCTGGTATACAGAAGGTCGTGGGTTCGATCCCGACACTGCCGCCTGCTGCTGTATATTTGGAGTTTGCATGTCTCTGTCTCATCATCATCACGGTGGCTAGGAGATGTTAACTACTTCGTCTGGTGTACAGGAGGTGGTGGGTTCGGTCCCGACCCTGACGCCTGCTGTATATTTGGAGTTTGCGTGTCTCTCTCTCATCATCATCACAGTGGCTAGGAGATGTTAACTATTTCGCCTGCTATACAGAAGGTCGTGGGTTCGATCCCGACACTGACCCCTGCTGTATATTTGGAGGTTGCGTGTCTCTCGCTCATCATCATCACGGTGGCTAGGAGATGTTAACTACCTCGCTTGGTATACAGGAGGTCCTGGATTCGATCCCGACCCTGCCGCCTGCTGCTGTATAGTTGGATTTTGCGTGTCTCTCTTTCTCCGTGGTCGCGTGGATTTTTCTCCGGGTCCTCCGGGTTCTCCCCTCCACGTTTCGAATCAACGTCACGCGTTTTCGAGTATTTGGCTGCGAAAGAATGTCCACGTGATTAGCCCACACTTCGTTGAGCTATCATTTGTGGCCAGGTCGCTTCTGAAAGAGAGATGTGTTATAGCTCAGTGGGATAAAGCGTGGTCAAGTGTGGTGAAGAAGTGTGGTGGATTTATGGTGAAGCGTGGTGAATTTTGGTGAAGTGTGGTGAATTTTGGTGAAGTGTGGTGAATTGTGGTGAAGCTTGACTAACGGGACAGGCCTCCACGACCCACAAAGGGGCGTGTTGTTGTGGGGGTAGGGGGCAGGAGGCATCCCTCCAGCAGTGAATTGACCAGTTTTGTTGCCAGATAGAAGGGTAAAAAAAACAATTATCATATTTTTTACTGGCAAATGAGGTTCCCATAGAGCTGCCAATCACCATCACTTTCTCCATCTTCAATGAGCCACGGCGGGTTAATGATGCGGAGGTAGCTGTTAGGCTAATCGAGTTGTAAATGAGCTGGGCGGACTCAATCGAGGCAAGCAAGCAGCCTGCTGCTGCCGCTTGCTAATGGCTCCGTGGTTTCTTGTAGTAGCGCCGAGCGGTGGCGGATGTGGGGGGTGGCCGATGTTGGGGCTGGTGGGGGGTGACCGAGCGCCAGGCCAGATGGTGAAGATAACGGGGGGGGGGGGGGCAGGCGGGGGTTGCTGCTGCTTGTTAGGGGCACTCAGTGCAGTGCAGTGTGTGCAGTGTGTGTGTGTGCAGTGTGTGTGTGTGCAGTGTGTGTGTGTGCAGTGTGTGTGTGTGTGCAGTGTGTGTGTGTAGTGTGTGTGTGTGCAGTGTGTGTGTGTAGTGTGTGTGTGTGCGCAGTGTGTGTGTGTGTGCAGTGTGTGTGTGTGCGCAGTGTGTGTGTGTGCGCAGTGTGTGTGTGTGTGCAGTGTGTGTGTGGTGCGCAGTGTGTGTGTGCACAGTGTGTGTGTGTGCAGTGTGTGTGTGCGCAGTGTGTGTGCAGTGTGTGTGTGTGTGCAGTGTGTGTGCAGTGTGTGTGTGTGTGCACTTTGCGTGCAATGTGTATGCGTGTGTGTGAAGTTTGCGTGTGTGTGCAGTTTGCGTAGCTGCAGTGTGTGTGTATCTGTATAAAAAAATAAAGTTGAATTTTTTTTTAATGATAGAAAATAATATTATCATCATTGTGACACAAGTATACCAAGTTTGCAGTCGATACCGCATTGGGAAGTGGGTTAAAATCGAGTTACAAGATTTGAGGATACAACAACAACAGACAGAGTGAGTTCAATGAAAGCGTCTAAAAACATCTTTGGATTAATTCGCGTGAATATAAATGCGTCGTTCAACCCGCCACCACCCGACACAGCCAATCAGTGCGGTCTTGTGACGTTAACAGAACGTGGCCAATTCGTTACTAACTGCAGCACCTCCAGTGTGCTGGAGAGCAAACCCACAGCGTTGACAATCCGAGTCCTGTTGTAATAACAGCCATAGAGGATTCACGTGGGGATTGGCTTGCCTGTCCCGCTTTGTAGCCAATAAGGGATGAGCCAGGGAGCATGGCCTCGGCGTGATCACGGCATGTTAGCAGGGGTGATTGGCCTGGCCAATCGGGGCCTCAGCTAATGGGGAGCCGGATCAGAGGCGTGGTCCCGGGATTGACAGGGAACCTTCTGGAACGTTCAACGCTGTCTATGGAGGATTGGCTGGGGGGTACCACGTGACGAAGGGATTAAGAGAGAGAGAGAGGGAGAGAGAAGTCGGGAGCAGACTTGGAAACGAGCAGAGCGGGAGTCACGCGCGTACGAGGGCTCCGGGTGCCACGTGCGCGGTGGGGACTTGGCGAGAAGTCTGCCCTCTCTCCGTTGTCTGCCAGCAACGGAGAGTGTGTGTGTAAAGTGTAACTGTGAAAGTTGACAATACAAATGACTGATTCCGGAAGCCGTCTCAAGAAGGTTTATTACACTGTGAAGAAAGTTGTGCGTGTGTCGGTCTCGAATATGATGTCGTTACCAATGGCGGAGCCAGGATTTTCAGTTGGGGGGGGGGGGCAACTCTTCCAGCAATGAAACATGATAGAGGAGTTGTTAGTAAGTAAGGAGTTGCCCCTTGCTTTGTATTCGACGCGTGTGCGGCGATGGCGCAGCCATCGATCGAGGGTAGAATTCGAACCGCGTTGTGTGATCGGCATCGCGCTCGCTGAAGGTGAATGCCTTCAGGGAAGTCGTGGACTGTATAGGCGCAACTGCGCACAATTATGTGAGTCACTTACAACTGCTTTGCCGCTACTTATTGCCAATTATGGACTCAGACTATTGTCCTATCATCTCCTAGAGTCCCTGGCGCGTAATAATATACACAGCGGCAGTGGGGGTAGCAAAATGCAGATTTATTACTAATAAACCCCAATGATCTGATCGAGATTAGGGATTTCGATCAGATCATTGGGGGGGGGGGGCACGTGCCACCCCCCTCCCTCCCGATGTGACATGTTCGGATCAATTTAAGATCACTTCGCCTCCCTGTGCCTTCTCAGCATTGGCTGCTCTGTCCCCTTTTTGTGTTTGCAGGTTTTCTGGGAGCAAGATTAAGAGCGAGGTAAGTTTAGCACGTGGCAAGAGGCTTCACGCGACCAATAACAGCCATACATACGGGTGTTTTTTGTTTGTTGGGTTATATCGCGTAAGTATATATAAATGCGTCGTTAAACCCGCCGCCACCCGACACAGCCTGTCAGTAAGGTTTGTCACGTTAACAGAACTTGCCAATTCGTTACGAGTACAGCAACACCGCTGATGGATGCCCATTGTAATTTATATTCATTCATTAATCTCCACACAACTTAGCACGTGAAGGGGTCTCAAGTGACGTCCTCACATCTACCCCCTCTATTTAAGGAACGAAACAGGAGGATTTCTCCACAAATCTGGCTGTCTGCCTGATGAAGCTGGTTGTAATTACTGGCGAAACGTCGTGCTCAGAGTGTAAGTGTTGTAGCTTGGCTGTCCAACACACAACCGGTGTTGCTACGTGTCTGTGTGTGTCTGTGTGTATGAGGAGCGGTGGTGTTTTGTTTAAAGCGTTGCGATACAAACCCGGCGACCTGAGTTCGATTCCCGCTCACGGCCAACACCAGTGACGATTATCTGAACAAGTCTTTGGCCTCCCCTAGGTCGACTCGGCCTCAAATGAGCACCTGTTGCGGTGTGTAAGCATCGCGGCTGGGGAGACAAAGGCGGCCGGGTGTGGTTCTGGGCACCCACTCCAATTGTGTGCCGTGCCGGCCTTCACGGGGTGCTACTCGCTAACAGCGCTTGCCCCAACAGTCCGCTGAAGGCTACACGGGGGACCTTTGTGTGTGCACAGGGAGGCTTCACGCGTAAATACTCGCTGAGCTCCAAAACCGGCACTCTCCTTCCAGAGTTCCCCAGCGCCCGCCACCTCATCCTACCTGCGTCCGTGTCCAGAGACAAGGTGAGAGACAGGGACACACATAGACACACAGAGACAGAGACACACAGAGACAGAGACACACAGAGACACACAGAGACACACAGAGACAGAGACACACAGAGACAGAGACACACAGAGACAGAGACACACAGAGACACACAGAGACAGAGACACACAGAGACACACAGAGACAGACAGAGATAAGCTGAGAGACAGGGACACACAGAGACACACAGAGACAGAGACACACAGAGACAGAGACACACAGAGACAGAGACAGACAGAGACACACAGAGACAGACAGAGACACACAGAGACAGACAGAAACAAGGTGAGAGACAGGGACACACAGAGACACACAGAGACAGAGACACATAGAGACAGAGCCACACAGAGACACACAGAGACAGAGACACACAGAGACAGACAGAGACAAGGTGAGAGACAGGGACACACAGAGACACACAGAGCCAGCGACACACAGAGACAGACAGAGACAACGGGCGGGGGGGGGGGGGCACATTCCGTGTTGTGCGAACATCGTTCCCGAGTACACGAACGGCGTCGTAGCGACAACGCGCTGAGCGGGGGACTCGCCCCCCCTACCCAGTTGAATCCACGGCGCTGTGACGCACGCGGTGACCTCTCGCCCCTCCTGTGCGTGCGTGCGTGGGCCAGGCCGACACGCTGATCACGATGTACAAGACCCACTGCCAGTGCATCCTGGACAATGCCATCAACGGCAACTTTGAGGAGGTGAGCTTAGAGCGTGCATCGTCATCGTCGTCATCATCGTTATTATCATTATTTCACGCACCTCCGATTAGCATGGTTGGCTACGTACGGTGCGAAAGAGGTTCAGCGTACATCATTATCAGCAGCAAGAGCAGCAGCATTGTTGTCAAACATCATCATCATCACAATCTGCAGCACATTCATCATCATCAGCAGCCGCACCATCATAATCTTTAGCAGCTGCAGCAGCAGGATCAACATCGTCCGTGGCATATTCATCAGATCGCCATAGTCGTTCATTATTGTCACATTCATCATCATCATCATGAACCGCACATCCGGTTAGCGCGGTTGGCTACGTATGGCGCAAAAGAAGTGCAACATACTGTACATACATACACGAACGTCGTCAATAACGTCATAATTAAAAACATAGTAAAAATATAAATATAGCAGAAACTATATTTTGCCACTGGTAAAGGAGATCTCATAATTAAAAACACCTTTTCCAAAACCCGATCGTTCAACACATCGGCTGACATCATCACGATCATCACCACCAACACCAACACCACCAACATCACCACCAACACTACCAACAACATCACCATCGCCATCGCCACCGCCAGGGTCACATCGTGGTCGCCGTCGCTACCACCACCACCAACATCATCATCATCACCACCAGCAACATCATCATCATCATCGCCATCGCCACCACCACCAACATCATCATAACCATCGCCATCACCACCGCCAGGGTCACATCGTGGTCGCCGTCGCCACCACCACCAACATCATCATCGCCATCGCCACCGCCACGGTCACATCGTGGTCGTCACCACCACCACCAACATCATCATCATCATCGCCATCGCCACCAACATCATCATCATCGCCATCGCCACCACCACCAACATCATCATCATCATCGCCATCGCCACCACCACCAACATCATCATCATCATCGCCATCGCCACCACCACCAACATCATCATCATCATCATCGCCATCGCCACCACCACCAACATCATCATCATCATCGCCACCACCAACATCATCATCATCATCGCCATCGCCACCACCAACATCATCATCATCGCCACCACCAACATCATCATCATCATCATCGCCATCGCCACCACCACCAACATCATCATCATCGCCATCGCCACCACCACCAACATCATCATCATCATCGCCATCGCCACCACCACCAACATCATCATCATCATCGCCATCGCCACCACCACCAACATCATCATCATCATCGCCATCGCCACCACCACCAACATCATCATCATCATCGCCACCACCAACATCATCATCATCATCGCCATCGCCACCACCAACATCATCATCATCGCCACCACCAACATCATCATCATCATCATCGCCATCGCCACCACCAACATCATCATCATCGCCATCGCCACCACCACCAACATCATCATCATCATCGCCACCACCACCAACATCATCATCATCATCGCCACCACCACCAACATCATCATCATCATCATCGCCACCACCAACATCATCATCATCGCCACCGCCACCGCCACCAACATCATCATCGCCACCACCACCACCACCAACATCATCATCATCGCCACCGCCACCAACATCATCATCATCGCCACCACCACCACCACCAACATCATCATCATCGCCATCGCCACCACCAACATCATCATCATCATCGCCACCGCCACGGTCACATCGTGGTTGCTGTCGCTATCGTTTGGCCTCCTCGTCCGCAGATCCAGAACTTCTTGCTGCACTTCTGGCAGGGCATGCCCAGCCACCTACTGCCCCTCTTGGAGGAGGCCGCCATGGTGGACGTCGTCTGCGTCTGCGACTCCATCTTGTACAAGGTCCGCCCGGCCGAGACAAGTTTGTTCCGTTGCATCGGTCGAGGGCCGACATTCATCCAGCAGTGGGTAGATCACGACCGATGTGACGATAACCGCGATGAGCCAGGATGTGGCCGGGTGGTTACATTTTTGTTTTAACTCTTTTATTTTATTTAACCAGGTAAGGCTCACTCGAGCTATTATCTCTTTATAACTCGTGACCTGGCCACAAATGATAGCTCAACGAAGTGGCTTATCAAGTGGACATTTATAGCGGGCAAATACTCTAAACGCGTGGGGAAAAACTGGAGGATCTGGAGATAATTCCACGGAGCCACGGGGAGCACATGGAAACTCCAATTATATACATTTTGATTTAAAGCTTTCGTGACTGCAGGGATTCATATTCTTGGTTCTTTTGGTAAAGTCACGTAGAAGGGAAACAAGAAAATAATATAAATATAAAACAATACAAATTCTCACGACGTTTCGACTGCAACACACCTGATGATGATTGCTTGTGTTGCAGTCGAAACGTCGTGAGAATTTTTATTGTTTTATATTTATATTCTTTTATTATTTCCCTTCCAATTATATAGTTTAGCAATGTTGTGGATTTACTCTCCAACACACCAGTGGGCTGATGTAGTCACTAATTGGCACATTTTGTTTACGTGACAAACCTTATTAATTGGCTGTATCGGGTGGTGGTGGGTTAACGACACATTTACGCGCTCTAACCCAAAAAATTACTTTCATATGAATCCAAATATACAGCAGGCGTCAGGATCGGGATCGAACCCACGACCTCCCGCATAGCAGGCGAGGTAGTTAACATCTCCTAGCCACCGCGGCACAATTAAATAACCCAGGAAGCTGTGCTCACACGTTCCATGGCGTCGCAGGCTTTTGTCCGAGCGTGTGCCGCTGGACGGGAGGTGGGGGGGGGGTGCTTGGCGACGCGGTCGGCACCGTCAGCCTCGTCGCGCTGGGCGTGGCTTGCACGGGGGGGGGGGGTTTCCCACCTTCGGGAGGCAGCAGCAGCAACAGGTTATAGGGGCGGCCGTTATAGGGGCGGCCGTCAATCCTTTTTGAACGGGGCCACAAAACGCCGACCGCTTGCAGGAGGGGTTTCCCATGTTCGGGAGGCAGCAGCAACAGGTTATAGGGGTGGCCGTTATAGGAGCGGCCGTTATAGGGGCGGAGGTTATTGGGGGAGGCCGTTATCGGGGGCGGCCGTTATAAGGGTCGACCGTCAAATTTTTTTTTAACGGGGCCCAAAAACGTCGACCGGCCGAACACACGATTCAATGGTATGAAATCGTCGGGGTTGCGGACTTCCCAGTGGAGCGACGGACTGCACCGAGGGATCGTCCACCGGCACCGACGCTGTTGTGCCCCCCACCCCCCCCCCCGTGCCGTCGTCTGCAGGTCCTCACCGATGTCCTCATCCCGGGAACGATGCAGGAAATGCCGGACAGGTTCGTGGAGTTTTCCCACCTCAACATCCACCACCACCCCCACCGCAACCACCACCCCCTTCCCCCGGGCCCCGTCAACCGCACGTTGTCCGACGTTTCGCTCCACACCCTCCGGAGGAGGAGCTGCCGGCACGTGGGGGATAGTTTGCGGCGGGTCTTTGGCACTCTCTACCCTCTTTCTTTCTCTTCCTCTCTCTTCTCCCTCTCTCGCACGCTCCCTAGATCATATCCTGGGTTCACTCGCTCGCATCTCCCGTTACTTGGGAGAGCAGTGCACCCCGGTTATTTTCTGTTCCTTCACTGGCTGTTGTTTCCTGCTGCTGCTGCTGCTGCTGCTGTTAAAACTATATAATAACGGTAGTAATTGTGGGGTCAGATCTTGCCACATTTGTTGCTTTGCTTTAACATAAATGCGCTCAATATTTGACGTCTTGCGTGTCTCTGCGTCTCTTTTCTCTCCCGGGCTGCTGCCCGTGCTGCTGAGCGGCAGAGTAGCGGCGAGCGCTGCGCTGCACTACGAACCCGGTGACCCGAGTTCGATTCCCGCTCACGGCCAACATCGGTGACGATTATCTGAACCGGTCCTGGGTGTGGTGTGTAGTAAACATCGCCACTGGGGAGACAAAGGCGGTCAGGCGTGGTTCTCGCCACACACACTCGGTCGGCCTTCATATGTGCTCGCTAACAGCACTTGCCCCAACAGTCCGTTAAGGTTATATGGGGAAGGGGGGGGTCTTTGTCTTTGTGCATGCGTGTGCATGCGTGTGTGTGCATGCATGTCGCAGAGCCGTTGTACGCGTGGTTTTGTGACAATCGCATCGAAAGTTGAGCGGCCACCAGCCCCTCGCAACCGTCCAGAGCCCCCGTTGGCCGCCGCGGCGGCTGCGAGCGTGCCACGAGGATTACCAGCCGATTAGCATCGTGCAGGGAGGGGCTGGGTGGGGAGGGAGGGGCTGGGTGGGGAGGGGAGGGGAGGGTGGGGAGGGGCTGATCACCCCGTGGTGCCCTTATAAAACTCAACGTTTAACCTACTCACGCCGGCTTGTGCCCGCCCTCACAGTCGGCCATATTTGCGGAATACACCACGCCGCCGTTGACCCTGGCCATTGACCGAGCAACCCAACGTTCCTACCAGCTCCCTCCACAGGAATGTGTTATTGCCGGCGATCTCAGTCGGTCGTCGCACAGCACCTGGGTCTGTTCCCTGACCTCATGCACTTCGCTTGGCACATCAGTTACGCTCGTCTACGTACGGTGCAAAATGAGTTTGATGTGCATACGTGCACACGTGCGTGGCGCGCCTGGTGTGCACCCCCCTGGCCTCGTCCTGTCAGCGGCGAGCCTTCCGCACGTCACGTGACGGCGTCAAGGTGCACCCAGCCTGGCGCAAGCGCCGCCGCCGTCGTCGTCAGCGCCGCTTAGTTTGGCGAACGGCGGCCGCCGTTTGACGTTGCTGTTGTTGTTGATGCCGAGGCAGTTGTTGATGATGCCGTTGTTGTTGTTTTCGTCGTCATCGCAGCCTGCTGGTGGACGTGCGGGGGCTGGCGCGCCACTGGGACCGCTGGGCCAGCTCGTCGCTGGAGACGCTGCCAGCGCTGCTTTCCGAGCGCAAGCTGCCCATCGCAAGGCGCTTCTCGGCGTCGCTCAAGCGGCAGACGTCGTTCCTGCACCTGGCGCAGGTGAGGGTGGGAGGGCTGGTAGCGGGATGTGGAGCTGAACCCCCAGGGAGGATAGAGGGGTGTGGAGCTGAACCCCCTAGGGAAGGGAGAAGGATGTGGAGCTGAACCCCCAGGGAGGGGAGAGGGATGTGGAGCTGAACCCCCAGGGAGGATAGAGGGGTGTGGAGCTGAACCCCTAGGGAGGGTAGAGGGGTGTGGAGCTGAACCCCTAGGGAGGGTAGAGGGGTGTGGAGCTGAACCCCCAAGGAGGGTAGAGGGATGTGGAGCTGAACCCCCAGGGAGGATAGAGGGGTGTGGAGCTGAACCCCCAGGGAGGGTAGAGGGATGTGGAGCTGAACCCCCAGGGGGGGTAGAGGGGTGTGGAGCTGAACCCCCAGGGGGGGTAGAGGGGTGTGGAGCTGAACCCCTAGGGAGGGTAGAGGGATGTGGTGCTGATGCGAGGTGTGTGATCGCGGGACGTGGCGTGCCGAAACGCTTCTCCGATACGGTCCAAGCCGCCGTCGTTCCAATCATTTTGCCGCCTCCCCCTCCCATGCCTCTCTGCCCTTCCTTCCCCCCCCGCCGCCACGGGTCAGATCGCGCGGCCGACGCTGTTGGACCAGGCGACGGTGAGCGCTATGGTGCGCGACGTGGAGCGCGTGGACCTCAACTCGCTCGGCTCGCAGGCGCTGCTCATGCCGCCCGGCGGCGCCGCCGATGACCCCGAGTTCGACTCCGACCCCGAGTGTGGGTTGCGGCGTTGCTTCCGCCACACGCGCGACACCCCCCGTGACGATCGTTGACATCGTCGTCATCGTCACGATCCGCAGGCGGACGGCCTGTATGTGTCCGCTGCGCTGTTTCGTAATGACGACGATTTCACGCGTCGTCTTGAAGATGTGTGGAATGCGATGCGGTGACCACCGACTTTGTTCGATGGCCCAGCCGTCCTTTCCCAATGGATGCCGGATAACAGAATTTCTGCTGAAATATGATGATGATGACGGCTATACGGATTTTTTTTACTGGTAGGAACCTCCTGGTTACACTAGCCCACAGGGGATTATTGTGTCCGTCGTGCAGGGAGGGGCTGGGTGGGGAGGAGAGGGTGGAGAGGGGCTGGGTGGGGAGGGTGGGGCTGGGTGGCGGGTGGGGCTGGGTGGGGAGGGGCTGGTCACCCCGTGGTGCCCTTATAAAACTCAACGTGTAACCTACTCACGCCAGCTTGTGCCCGCCCTCACAGTCGGCCATATTTGCGGAATACACCACGCCGCCGTTGACCCTGGCCATTGACCAAGCAACCCAACGTTCCTACCAGCTCCCTCCGCAGGAGGAATGTGTTATGTGTGTGCGTTACGTGTCTCCCTTTGTGTACCCACGTGTCTACAGATGACTCGGTGGTTGTGTTCCAAGAGTTGAGGGATCTGCTGAAGAGCGGTGCCACGGTGGAGGCGTTCATCGAGTGGCTGGACCAGGTCCTGGAGAACCGGGTGATCAAGGTCCCCTGACGCACACAAAGACAAAGATCCCCCGTATAGCCTCAACATACTTTTGGGGCAAGTTCTGCAAGCGAGTAGCGCCTGTGAAGTCCCGCGCAGGTACGCGAGGGTGGTGGGTGGCCAGCACCGCACCCGACCGCCTTTGTCTCCCCATTGGCGATGTTTATTACACACCGGACCAGGTACTCATTTGAGGCCGAGTTGACCTTGGGGATGCCCAGGACCGGTTAACTGGTGTTGGTGGCCGTGAGCGGGACTCAAACTGGGGTCGCCGGGCTCGTAGCGGAGCGTGACAACCACCACACCACCGCTCCCCGCTGATACACACGCACGCACACACAGTACACACACACACAGTACACACACACAGTAAATGCACACACAGTACACGCACACACACACAATACACGCACACACACACAGTACACGCACATACAGTACACGCACACACACACAGTACACGCACACACACACAGTACATGCACACACACACAGTACACGCACACACACACACCGTACACACACACACACTACACGCACACAAACAGTACACGCACACACACACAGTACACGCACACACAGTACACGCACACACACAGTACACGCACACAATACACGCACACACAGTAAACGCACACACATTCAGTACACGCACACACACACCGTACACACACTACACGCACACACACAGTACACGCACACACACAGTACACGCACGCACACCCACGTGTTTATTTGAGTCCACTCGAAAAAAAAACACAGAGGTCACGTCGAAAACCCATACGGAGCAGGGGGAGAACACACGAACTCCGCACACGGTGTCACGGTCTGCACCGGGACCGCAAACCCAGGCCCCCCTCCTCCCCCCTTCTCGCCGCGCGACACAATCATCACCACCGCCACCCTGGTGCCCCCTCGAGCCTTTCCGCAGCGGGCAAGGCTGGCGACGCGGGTGAGCAGCGGGGGGGGGGGGGGTCACAGCTTTGCCATCGCCCTCGCCTCTGTGTCGTTCGAGCAGCCGAGCAAGCAGAACGGGCGCACGCTGAAGAAGAGGGCTCAGGACTTCCTGCTGCGCTGGAGCTTCTTCGGGGCGCGCGTCATGCACGGCCTCACGCTCAACAACGCCTCCAGCTTCGGTGAGCGCGGGCCCATCGTCGCCGACCCCGGCAGCGAGGCCGGAGGGAGAAGATAGCCGAGCAGGGAGGGAGGTCGGTCGGTCTGTCGCGGTGCCAACGTTGGCGCAGCGTGGTTCAGATCGTTGGACCATAATAGAGGTTTTTTTGGGGGGTTAGATCGCGTAGATATAATAATGTGTGGTTAAACCCGCCACCACTCGACACAGCCAATTTAATGAGGTTGTGTCACGTGAACAGAACGTGGCCAATTCGTCACTAGTACAGCACTAACCGGTTGTGCGTTGGAGAGCCTAGCCACAACATTTACCATCTGAGTACGACGTTTCGCCAGTTATTACGACCGGCTATCACCAGACGACAGCCAGATGGTCGGACCCTACATTTGGCACGCCATTGGCACGCGTTCGCGGCCGCTGGCCTAATGTTGGCCCAAAGTCGCTACGTGGTTTGAGATTGATGGACCTACAGTGGCTCGACGTCGCCCCAACATTCGCCCCAACACGTTACGCGTTCCGCGAGCATCGCGTTCAACCCGCGCCGAGCAGCGTGCCCGAGTGCTTGCGGGGCGAACCTTCATCCGGCAGCGGATCGATAAAAAGGGGAGGGCGAACGTCGCATCCGTCCGACGCGTCGGCGCAGTTCGCTCGTGTCGTGGGCCGCCCAGAGTGTAGGTCGGTGCAACTGCGGCCGCGGCCAACTGGGCTGGAGGGTCCATGGCGCGCCACGTTACCCCACCGGTGTACCCGTGTGCGTACGTGCGGCGGCGGGCAGCGATCGAACGCGACCGCCCGCACCGAACCCGTCCTGGGGCTTCCCCGAGGCAATGCGTCTGCGCGGTGAAGTGGCGGCGATTGTCTGCACCAGACTTGGGCCTCCCCTAGGTCGACTCAGCCGACGAGACATCACGAAGCAGCAGTGCTTGAAGAGCCACCGCATGCGGCTGTGGAGCCGCGGGGTTTGCTGACCTCTGCTGTAGGTAGCCTCAAATGTGTACCTGGTGCGGGATACACCGCAGTCAACCCGTGCGGTTTATACCCCGTGTTCTTGTACAGGGAAATTGAGTTTTCAGGTCCATACGATGTACAGCCGTTTCAATAGGGGCAGCAACATTTTTTTGTCTATTTGTTTGTGTTTCTCCCTCGTGATGGGGACTTCGTAGGATGAATTTATCAAGAAGGAGCAGTCCTTCAAGAGCTGCATGCAGCCGCAGGTTGCTGACCTCTGCCCGAGGTCGACTCAGCCTCAAATGTGTACCTGGTGCTGTAAATAAAACGTCAGCTGTGGGGAGACAAAGGCAGCAGGGTGACGGTGCTGGCCAGCACCCGCACCACGAGCCGCGACCGCTGGCACCAGTTGGTATCGATGTTCTGCACTGGCCTTGCGCCTCCCCTAGGTCGACTCGGCCTCAAACGAGTATGTGGTGCGCAGCTCGTGCGGCCACCCACGCTCCGCGCGTGGCACGCCGGCCTTCGTAGGCGCCGCTAGCTCAGGGCACTGCTAAAGGCTACGCGGGGGGCGGATGGGGTGGGATCGTTACCTCTGTGTGTGTGTTGGCAGGCTCGTTTCACCTGATCCGCATGCTGCTGGACGAGTACATCCTGCTGGCCCTGGAGACTCAGTTCAACAACCACAAGGAGCAGGAGCAGCAGAGCCTGCTCGACAAATACACGCGCAACGGAGGTGTCTGTCTCGCGCTCACACGGACACACGCTGTCTGCCTTCGATGCACATGGACACACGAGTCTGTGATGCAGGCATAACGAATCTGACCCCTGACCTTCCTTGCCACCCCCCTTCTCCCCCCGTGCACCTCCCAGACGCGAGCCGCACTACCCTCAGCGCCACCCCCAGCTCGTGCTTTCTGGCGAGCCGGGCCAAGGCTTGCTTGGCCCTGACCCCAGGGCCCGAGAGGGTCAAACGCGAGACCACCGCTCCGGCTCTGCTGCAACCTTTGCAGCAGCAGCAACAGCAGCATCAGCAGCACGCGTACCACGACCAGCAGAGGCACCACCACCACCACAACCACCACCACCACGAAAGCCAACAGCATCATCATCATCAGCAGCAACAGCAGCATCATCATCATCAGCAGCTGTCACCCATGAGATGCGGCCTCTACTCCTCCATGCTGGGAAGCCACGAAGCGACTCTTGCAGGTGAGGTCCCTTGGAATCATTGTCGTCGTCATCATCGTCGTCATCGTCGTCGTCATCGTCGTCATCGTCGTCATCGTCGTCGTCGTCGTCGTCATCGTCGTCGTCGTCGTCATCGTCGTCGTCATCATCATCGTCATCATTGTCGTCGTCATCATCATAGTTGTCATCGTCGTCTTCGTCGTCGTCGTCATCATCGTCGTCATCATTGTCGTCGTCCTCATCGTCGTCGTCATTGTCGTCGTCATCATCGTCGTCGTCAATGTCGTCATCATCATCATCATCATCGTCGTCGTCATTGTCGTTGTCGTCATCATCGTCGTCATCATCGTCGTCGTCATCGTCGTCGTCATCATCGTCGTCGTCGTCGTGAGCCATGGTCTATCCACTGCTGGATGAAGGGCTCCCCATGCCATCGTGGTGCATTATAAACGTGCATCGTGGATGCAACCTCGGCATCACTCAGCTGTCACGCATTAACGCTCGTCCCGTCCTTACGCCCGTCGCGTACTAACACCTGTCGTGCACTCACGCTAGTCTTGAACTAACCCCCGTCGCGTACCAACGCCGTTGTGTACTAACGCCCATCGTGTACTAACGCTAGTCGCGTACTAACCCCCGTCGCGCACTAATGCTAGTCGCATCCTTACGCTGGTCGCGTACTAACCCCCGTCGCGTACCAACGCCGTTGTGTACTAACGCCCGTTGTGTACTAACGCTATTCATAATCAACGTTTTTGGGTTTAGATCGCGTTATTTATAAATGTGTTGTAACCCTCCACCACCCGACACGGCCAATCAGCAAAAAAGTGTCACGTTCACAAAAGACAAATAGTTCACTGCTTTAGCCCACCGGTGTGTTGAAGCCACAACATTTACAATTTGAGTACGACGTTTCGCTGGTAATTGCATCCAGCATCATCGGGCAATTCGCCAGAATGGTGAGGCTAGTCGCGTACTAACACCCGTCGCGCACTCACGCCCCCATGGTTTCGTCGCCCAGACTACCCGGCAGGTCACCCGGAGCTGTTGCTGAGCCGCGGCAGCGTCATCATGAACCAGCCGCCGCCACCGCCCGGCCGGCCCGTGGCCCCCTCTGAGCGCGGCGGGGGCCGCTGCGGCCCGGGGCCCCCCCAGGTCGCGCCAGCCGCCCCCCCGCCGGCTCACGGCTACGCCGAGGCGGCCTATGACAACTCCCTCGACTACTATCCCGGCAGCAGCTACGGACGATCCCACCACCACCACCACGAGCAGCAGCAGCTACAGCTGCACCACCACCAGCAGCAACACCACCACCAGCACCACCACCAGCACCAAGACAGCAGCAATGGCAACAACAGCCACCACAATCGTACGGGCAACAGCGTCTGCAGCAACAACATCATCGTCGTCGACAGCAGCAGCAGCAGGAGTCATAACAACACCAACAACAACAGTAGCGGTGGCGGCGGTGGCCGCGAGGCCTCGCAAGGCAACGTCTACGCCACGTCGCCGTTCCGCCAGCGTGGAGGCTACGCGCCGCCGCCGCCATTCCACGCGGGGGCCGCGTACGGCCACGCGGCGTTCGCGACGGGGCCGCGTGGAGGCTGCGGAGTTGACGGCGGCTACGGCTACGGGCTGCCGACGGGCGGCGCGGGGGGCGATGGCGGCGTGGACGCGGGGTTCTCGTGCGCCGCCACGGGCCCAGGTGACCACGCGGAGGGCGCGGTGGTGGGGGCTGGGGGGAGGGGTTAGGCATTGAGGTTCAGGGGGTCACGGGGTTAGAGGCAGAGGCGTAGCTAGGGGGGGGGGGGGGCAGGGGGGTACATGTGTCCCCGGGCGCCAAGGTAAAGGGGCGCCAAAATGAGGCTTACGACGTTACATTATAACTTATTGCGGCGGGCGCGGCAGCCTGAAACTACCGCACAAATCTACACCTCAACCTAAAAGTTTATATATCCCGCCACACACTGTCATGTAATTACATTTTGGTTTGTGATTAAACGGGAGGGGGGGGGTCGCCAATTTTATAGTTTGTCCCCGGGCGCAAAATATCCTAGCTATGTCACTGGTTAGAGGAACACGGGGGTTGTGCGTTAGGGTGGTGAGGGGGTTTGGGGTTCGAGGTGTTGGTGCTTGAGGTGAGTGGTTAAGGGGTGTGCCGTTTGGGTTTACGATTTTAGGTCGACTCGGCCTCAAATGAGTACCCGGGTGCGACGTGTGAACTTTGTCACTGGGGAGACAAAGGCGGCCGGGCGTGGTGTTGGCCACCCAACCCCCTCGTGCGCCGTTCCGGCCTTCATTAGGTGCTGCTCGCTAACAACACTTGCCCCAACAGTATATTAAGGCTATATGGGGGAACTTTGTCTTTGCGTGATTTGAGCGTGGAACGGATCAACGCGAGTGAGTGACTGCCAGTGTTAACGGGTGCTGCTCGCTAACAGCACTTGCCCCAACAGTCTGCTAAGGCTAGACGGGGGTCGGATCTTCGTCTTGCGTGTGCGAATAAAGTAATGGTCGACCCGATGATGCCCCCTCCCCTTCCCGCGCAGGCTTCTACGGCGCTGGCGCTCTAGCCGGCCGTGCCGTGCCGGTCATCAGCTGCCACGGCGCGTCGCGGGCCCCGGAGCGGCCCGACCCTCTGGGGCTGCTCTGCGGCGGAGAACCCCCCGGTTACTACGGCGACGGCAAGCATCACGGTTACTACGGCGACCACAAGGCTGACGACGGTTGCTACGGGGCGAGGAAGGCGGAGGAGGAGTATGGCTGCTGCTCGTCCGCGGGTGAGGAAGGGGTACCAAATGCGGTGGCGACGATCACGATCCGTGTTGCGTGCGCAGGCTGTTGGGGCCTTGACACACACACACAATGGGGCCGTCCATAAATGACGTCACGCACCTAGGGGGGGGGCGGGGTCAGACATTTGTGACGATGTGTGACGAGGGGTGGGGGGTTTGAGAAATGTGACGTCACATCAATATGCGCAACTTTTAAATAAATATAGACAACACGTTCTACTTAATTAAATAAACTTTTTAATAAATGTTTTCTCCTACAACATCAGAGTGCAGCGGCACATTAAATACGCACTATAATGACAATAGTTTAAAGCGATTTGAAGCATATTTTTTTTTTTGGGGGGGGGGGCAGAGCTTTGTGACGTCATATTTGAGGGGGGGGGGGTCTGACTTTTTGTGACGCCATGTGACGAGGTGGTGAGGTGGCCAGAACCCACTCCCGACCGCCTTTGTTTCCCCTGTGCTGATGTTTGCACGGCGCACCGGGGGCTCGTTTGGGGCGAGCATCTGAACCAGTGCTGTGCCTCCCCTGGGTAGATTCGAGTCGGCACACACAACACACAAGACAAAGATCCCCCGTGTAGCGTTAATAGACTGTTGGGGTAAGTGCTGTTAACGAGCAGCGCCTGTGAAGGCCGGCACGGCACACGAGGGGGTGGGTGGCCAGCACAATGCCCGGCCGCCTTTGTCTCCCCAGTGGCGATGTTTACACAACGCACCAGGTACTCATTTGAGGCTGAGTTGACCTAGGGGAGGCCCAGGACCGGTTCAGATAATCGTCACTGGTGTTGGCCGTGAGCGGGAATCGAACCCTGGTCGCCAGGTTCATAGCGCAGCGTAGCCCTAACCGCTGCACCACCGCTCCCCCCACGCACATTAACAGACACACAAACATATACCTGGCTACTTTCATCTTTAGGCCCATCTCTTTAAAGTGGCCTTCCCTCTACAGCTTGACCCGTTGCCCCAGGTTCTGTTTTCGTTTCCTGCTTTTCATTCCTTGCGTATTGGGATCTTAGGATGGAATGCGCATTATACATTAGAATTATTGTTATATTATTTTCTAATACGTGTATCTCGGTCACATGACTGCATGTGTCTATCTAACAGGTGCATGTCCATCTAGCGCGTGTGCGTCTATCCAACACGTGCGTGTGCGTTTATCCAACACGTGTGCGTCTACCTAATACGTGAGTGTGCGTGTGCGTCTATGTGTGTACGTTGAACTTCTTTCGCGCTGTACGTAGCCAACTGTGCCAATGGGAAGGATAACATATGTATGTGCATGTCTATCTGACACATACACATATTTGTGTATGTGTCTGTCAAACACTTATGTGTGTATCTATTTTACACTTGGGTGTGTTTGTCTATCATGAATGTGTGTCTCACACGTGTGTGTGTGTGTGTGCATACCACGTGTGCCTGTCGAACATGTGTGTGTGTCTATCTGACACTCGTGTGTATGTGCGCGTGTGTCTCTGGGGAGCGGTGGTGCAGCGGTTAGCGCGCAGCACTACGAACCTGCCCACCCTGGTTCGATTCCCGCTCACGGCTATCACCAGGGACGATTATTTGAACTCGTCCCGGGCCTCCCCTAGGTCGACTCAGCCTCAAATAAGTACCTGGCACGAAGTCTAAACATCACAACTAAGCCTTCATAGGTGCTCGCTAACGGCACTTGCCCCAACAGCCTGCTGAGGCTATACAGGGAATCTTTGTCTTTGTCTATCTAATTCGTGCGTGCGTGTGCGCTGTTCGACAGGCGACGCAGATGCGTCGCTGTCCCAGTGCATGTACGACAGCAGGGCGGCTCTCTACAGCTCCCAGCATGCCCTGCACTACGCCCAGCACGCGTCGTCGCATCCGCAGCAGCAGCAGCCGCAGCAGCCGCCCCTCCCGCCCATCGCCACCGTCTTCATGGACCAGATCACGGGCGAGAGCTGAACCGACCAACGTCTGCCCGGCATGTTCCGAGCGGCTACGGCGATCGTGATGATCTGCAACAGCGGCGGCAACGATCAGCGATCTCTCTTTCGCGCGGCCGACGGTGTCGATGCAGAACACCGGCTACGATTTCACATTCAAAGTTCAAAGTTCATTTATTAGGTATAGCCCTGTGAGCCATTCGGCTCTTGAATCGGGTGCAACCGCAACAAACAAAAAACTAAAACATGAACAAGAAAACATCTTAAAGTGACTGAGTGCAAACAGAAAATCCAAGAAAAAACAGCAAAATATTGCAGAAAAATCACCGTACACCAACCCTGTGCAAATATCCCAGTGGGATGCAAGTCAAACAACAACAACCACAAGACAACTTAGATTAAGGCCATCAGTCTAACTCTGTACTACAACAAACAAATATGGCCAAACCAAAAAACTTTTCGAAAATCACCAAAATAAAGCCAAGACAGACAACAGCGTCAGGAGCAGCGCAGTAGTGGCGTGTCGCCGTGATGTCTCCTTCTTCGTAATTCGTGGATCGGGGGCATTGCGTCGTTACGCGTTGCTACTGCCCGTTCTGGATGACCAACAGTCACGGCACACTGCTACTGGAGAGTTTTTATTTTCATGTTTCCCATTTGTGCATCCGGTATCAGCATCTACTGCTGCCATGGTTTGTGCGGTTGAGGTTGGACCACGAGCGATGTTCAGCGCCGCGTTCCGATCGTCAAAACCAGCAAGATCAGCCTGGGGTTGCCACCCTTCCGTCTGATGGACGTGGCAAACGAAATCTAAGATGCAGCGTGGGGAGAAGAGGAATAATATCTCACGGTCGCGGAAGATGGGGAGGGTGGGGGGGGTGGAGAACCACGTGGGCACGCATCGTCTTGAGTGGTGAATAATCCTTGTTGTTGTTGTTGTGTTTATTATCACGCAACTAACAAACAGCTGCTGCCTCAAATTTCGATTTAAAGCTTTCGTGACTGCAGGGATTCATCTTCTTGGTTCTTTCGGTAAAGTCACGTAGAAGGGAAATAATAAAATAATAAAAATAAAACATAACAAAATAATTCTCACGACGTTTCGGCTGCAACGCAAGCAGCCGTCCTCAGGTGAAGAATGAAGCACCACCAAGCTCCAAGCTTTATATTTTTTATATTTTATCATGTTTAATTGTTATTATTTTATTATTTCCCTTCTACGTGACTTTACCGAAAGAACCAAGAAACTGCTGCCTCGTGAACGAGGACGATCCCCGGGGAGAACCGGGACGGTTGGCAACTCCACCGCACCACGGGGGGATCAGCTGTATTTTTTTATTTTGGTTCAAATGTTTTTTTTATTTACTTACCCAGCCCCTTAATTTCTCACCCAGTGTGATGTATCCGGGTCGCTGGTAGACTTGAGTAGGTGGCACGTGACTGTTGTAGCTGAGGCACAGATATATATTTTTTGCCGGTCGCTGGTAGACCAAGCTGAAATTCAGCCCCGCTTCAACAAATACGCAGGCTACAGTACAAAGACAAAGGTCCCCCCCGCTCTGTATAGCCTTAGCAGGCTGATGGGGCAAGTGCCGTCATCTATTAAGGCCGGCACGTCACACGAGAGGATGGGTGGCCAGCACCACGCCGGATAATCATTTAGGGCTGAGTCGACCTAGAGGAGGCCCAGCCATGAGCGGAAATTGAACTCGTGGTCAACGGTTTATAGCACAAAACATGCCATCAAGTCTGCATTAACCACCCATACTTGCGGCATATTTTGCCACAAGTACGCATGGCTAATGCCTTGCATGCCACGATGGCGAGATGTTATCTGCCTCGCCTGGTATGCAGGAGGTCGTGGGTTCGATCCAGACCCTGACGCCTGCTGTATATTTGGAGTTTGCATGTCGCTCTTCCCCGTGGTGGCGTGGATTTTTCTCCGGGTCCTCCGGTGTTCCCCTCAATATTTAGAAACACGCGCTTAGAATATTTGGCTGCTGTACACTTCTACGTGATAAGCCACTTTGTTGAGCTATCATTTGTGGCCAGGACAAAAAATTGGTTATACAGCTTATTGAGCCTTAGCTGGTGAAAGGAAAATGTATTTAGATTGTATCTATGTTGTATTTGAACATCTTTACAGCTCCTGTTATATTGCCACAAACGGTAAAGCCCTACTCATCATTTCAATACCGGCAAAAAAAAATGTCCCATGGATGGTTCGGAGGTCGTGTGTCGCACGTTAACTTCAGTAGCAGAGGTCCCTTGCTTCGTTACGGTCACAGCGGTTCTAAAGTTCTACAGAGAACTGCTTTTTAAATCCTTTATATTAAGTTCGCTTGCTTGCTTGTGACCGTGCAAATCTTTCGGTCGTTTTTTAACCCACTTCCCGTGATCCAATCGAGCTGACATTTTCCACACAGACTCGTTGTGCGTGACAATTAATGTTCGTGAAAATGTTTTTCCAAAATTGTACACTTTTAAGGACAAAAATATTATATTTAATTACCAATTGCTTAATGGTGGCAGGCAATCATCTGATCCATAGGTGGCAGCCATCTCAAACCAGAGGACAAGAGGACTCTAGCCGCCACGCATATAAAGGATTTATAGTGAAAAACTTTGTTTTTACGGGTTATACATGTTTGTCTTTAGTTTGTTGTGCTCCCATCCCCGCAACGCCGCTTAACACGGTTCGCTACGCACGGTGCGAACGAAGGTCTACACACACGCGCGTATATACAGATCACCTCTGTACTGCGACGCACAACCCATCCAGGAAAATGCTGTGACTGTCAGACGCATCCTTTGTTCATTGTTACGTACAGGGTTATTTGTTTTTCATTGTGTGTCTGTGTGTTTGTGTTTCTCTATAGCGGATGATGGTTTTTGTTTGTTATATATATGAAGTTTGCGCTTAGTCCCTGCATCTGTTTACATCGTTTACTGGAAGAGTAGGATATATATTTTTTATTTTATTCCCTGTAAGAGGAACGGATATTGTATCCAGCTGTGCCATAAGAGGCTACCACCATCGTCATCACCATCATCATCGTCGTCGTCATCATCAGCCATGGTCAATCCACTGCCGGATGAAAGGAAGACACCACCGCCGCAAATTACGATCGCGCACATCAATGAACAATCCACCCAGTGCCCGCACATTTACCGATCGCATCGCTCCGTCTCCATGGCGGACTTACTTTCGGGCGCGTTCCGTCTCATTTGCTGCCACTCCGTTATTATCCTGCTAGCCACGACGCGTCCTACACAACCCAGAGACTCGCGTAGACCTGCATTGAGACCCACAGACTCACATAGATCCGCACAGAGACCCAGAGACTCACATAGACCCGCACAGAGACCCACAGACTGACATAGACCCGCACAGAGACCCACAGACTGACATAGACCCGCACAGAGACCCACAGACTGACATAGACCCGCACAGAGACCCAGAGACTCACATAGACCCGCACAGAGACCCACAGACTGACATAGACCCGCACATAGACCCAGAGACTCACATAGACCCGCATTGAGACCCATAGACTGACATAGACCCACACTGAGACCCAGAGACTCACATAGACCCGCACTGAGACCCAGAGACTCACATAGACCCGCACTGAGACCCAGAGACTCACATAGACCCGCACTGTGACACATAGACTCACATAGACCCGCACTGAGACCCAGAGACTGACATAGACCCGCACTGAGACCCATAGACTCACATAGACCCGCACTGTGACCCAGAGACTCAGATAGACCCGCACTGTGACACAGAGACTCACATAGACCCGCACTGAGACCCAGAGACTGACATAGACCCACACTGAGACCTAGAGACTCACATAGACCCGCATTGAGACCCAGAGACTCACATAGACCCGCACCGAGACCCATAGACTCGCATAGACCCACACTGAGACCCAGAGACTCACATAGACCCGCATTGAGACCCAGAGACTCACATAGACCCGCACCGAGACCCAGAGACTCACATAGACCCACACTGAGACCCAGAGACTCACATAAACCCGCATAGAGACCCATAGACTCACATAGACCCGCATTGAGACCCAGATACTCACATAGACCCGCACTAAGACCCAGAGACTCACATAGACCCGCACTGAGACCCACAGACTCACATAGACCCGCATTGAGACCCAGAGACTCACATAGACCCTCACTGAGACCCAGAGACTTGCATAAACCCGCATAGAGACCCAGAGACTCACATAGACCCACACTAAGACCCAGAGACTCACATAGACCCGCACTGAGACCCAGAGACTCACATAGACCCACATAGAGACCCAGAGACTTGCATAAACCCGCATAGAGACCCAGAGACTCACATAGACCCACACTAAGACCCAGAGACTCACATAGACGTACATTGAGACCCAAAGTGTGTTTAGAGTATTCCAGCTACTTTAAATGTCCACGTGATAAGCCACTTGGTTGAGCTATCATTTGTGGCCAGATCGCTTTTGAAAAAAAACATTTATAACTCAGTGCGCCTTAACCTGGTAAAATAAAAAAATGAACGAATTAGTTTTAATTAAAAAGAGTGGGGATGAAAACGTAACCGTGGAGGAGAGTAAGCGTGATTGGGCACGGCGTGTCGCGAGGAGGAGGGTGCTCGAGACGATCGGTGGAGCCGCCGCCAAGCGGCTCGTCCGCTTGCGGAGACGGAGCGGCGAAATGAGCCCGAAATGCGCAGGAGCCACACGGATCGTCGTATCGCGCCACCGTGGGACATGACGGCTGCGTTGGGGAGGGGAGAGGCGTTCATCCAGCAGTGGAATAACCTATGGCTTATGATGATAACGACGATGATGTACTGGGTGGCGAGTGTTGGGAGTAGCCAACACCTTGTGAATTGGACGCACGTAATACCGGTGCCCGTCCAGCAGTGGATAGATCGTGGCTGATTGATGATGATGACGATGATGGAGGTGGTGGTGGCAGGAAGGACATGAGGACACGAGTCGACGATCTTTTTCGACTTAAAGCTTTCGTGACTGCAGGGATTCATCTTCTTGGTTCTTTCGGTAAAGTCACGTAGAATGGAAAAAAATAAAATAATTAAAATAAAACATCATAAAATAATTCTCACGACGTTTCGGCCACAACGCAAGCAGCCGTCCTCAGGTGAAGAACAGCTCTGTCGAGACGACAGAGTCTAAATGTTTATTTTTATTATTTTATTACTTCCTTCTACGTGACTTTACCGAAAGAACCAAGAAGATGAGTCGACGGTCGTTCATCTCCGGGTGTCGCCTGCTGTTGGCCGCCCTGCGAGAGCGTGGAGCGGATTTATTTCGATCTCGATTTGAAGCTTTCGTGACTGCAGGAATCCATCCTCTGATTATTACGGTAAAGTCACGAAAGAACCAACGAGTACGGATTCATCATGGGACCTCCTTTGCCAGTACCAAAATATACTAATAGGGTTTTTCCCCTTTTTTCTGGCAACAAAACTGACACCTTTTGCAAGGAATCATGTTTACATTAACCACAATACTTGCAGTCAAATGCAAACAAAAAACAATACTCTGGTAATTTATGCATTGTCTTTGGAACTGATTGGTCCACACCAGAGACAGCTTTCTTTGGAGCCTCGTCTCATATGGTGTTCGACCAAAAGTACGGATTCATTTCGTTATTCACGGCGTCGCATTCGGTCGGTTCTCGTCGCGCCGTCGAACGACGGGGCCGAGAGACACGTGGCCGCCCGGGCCTTCGCGGCCCTCCCGGCCTGCCCTCTTCAGCGGTGAAACCTCCCAGCGGCGCGTTGTCCGACGTTTCGCTCCACGTTCCGCGGCAGGAGCTTCTTCGGGAACTCGACGAGCCGCTCGCTTGTTTTTACCGTGCTCCCCGAACGATTTCGCGCCGCTGGATGCTGCTGCTGCTGCTGCCGCCGCCGGTGATGGCCGGTTCCTGATGGAGGTCGCGCGGCACGTGGAGCGAAACGTCGGACACCGTGGCAAACGACGCACGGCGCGGCGACACGACCCGAATGCTCGTCGGCGGGCAGGAGGCTGCGGCGGTGTTGTTTTGTTTTTGTGTTGCACTGCGAGAAGGGATGGTCTCGCTCTTTATTTAATGACGAGGTTGTATGTTGTTGTGCGTGTGTGTGGGGAGCGGTGGTGCAGCGGTTAGCGCGCTGCGCTACGAACCCGGCGACCCGAGTTCGATTCCCGCTCACGGCCAACACCGGTGACGATTATCTGAACAGATCACGGGCCTCTCCTAGGTCGACTCAGCCTCAAATGAGTACCTGGTGCGTTGTGTAAAAACATCGCGACTGGGGAGACAAAGGCGACCGGGCGTGGTGCTGGCCACCCACCCCCTCGTGTGCCGTGCCGGCCTTCATAGGGGCTCGCTAACAGCCTTTGCCCCAAAAACCTGTTGAGGCTTTTAAGGCAGGATCTTTGAATTGGTTCTTGTTTAACAGTGGGGAGCGGTGGCGCAGTGGTTAGGGCACTGCGGCTACGAAGCCGACGACCAAGAACGCGTGAGCCCAGCGTTGGGCCTCCTCCCCTACTTCGGTCGGTCGACTCAGCCTTAAATGAGTACTGCAACCGGTGCGGTGTGCGAACATCAGCATCGGGGAGACAAAGGTGGCTGGGCGTGGTTTTGGCCACCTGCCACTTCTTGTGCTGTGCCGGCCTTCATAGGTGCTCGCTAACAGCACTTGCCCCAATAGTCTGTTAAAGGCTATACTGGGAATCTTTGTTTTTAGTTGTCCCAGTGTCGGAATTGATTACCCTTGGAGTTTGTTTTCTGAAATTTGTTTTGGGACGAGCGTGATTGAGAGAATTAATTGCGTCGTGAATTTTTAATTAAAATATTTTTTTTCGTACAAGAACTTTGTCGTTCTGCCATGCTGTCTATTTGTCCACAATATTGAATGCTCATTTGCAACAGCTCGCTTACGCTACCGCTGGTAGCAACGGCGGCGGGAGAGGGGGTACCTCCAATCTCTCGAGCCCCTTCTAGTGGAGGGTATTTTTAAATCCTTTATTAAGTTCACTTGCTTGCTTGCGCGCTTACGACCGTGCAAATCTTTCGGTCGTGTTTTAACCCACTTCCCGTGATCCAATCGAGCTGACATTTTGCACACAGACGCGTTGTGCGTGACAATTAATTTTCGTGAAAAATGTTTTCCTCAATTTTCCACTTTTTAGGGAAAAAAATATTATATTTAATTTAAAATACCAATGTGATAAAAATAAAACTCTTTCTCAAGAAAAACAGAAATGAATAATAAAATAAAACCGATGCCACGCATATAAAGGATTTATAGTGAAAAACTTTGTTTTTACGGGTTAATTTTTTGGCCTACTCTTCCACCCTGGCGCAGACGTTTTGTAAAGTGTGGAGTGCCCACACTTTACCCCTCCCCGCGCGACGTTCCGATCATAGACGAACTGTGCACGTGCAGCCACTTTCACTGCTGCTGGGTGGAGGGCGGGCAGAGGCTGTTGGGGGTGGTTTGGGGAGGGGTGAATTTGATCGAAATCGGAATATTGATTTATTCTGGAGGATGAATCCGATGAACTATCAAGCTCTTTTTCACAGATGTCCAGTAGGGGCGGGTAAGAACGTCACAACAACAAACACGACAAATACTCTTAGGTTTTTCGGTAAAGTCACATAGGTAAAAAATAAAAAATAATAAAAATAATAATAGAAATAAAATAATAAATCACGACGTTTCGGAGGCAACACAAGTCTCCGTCATCAGGTGGGACCGTCCCACAGCTAGATTTACTGTATCAAGTGAGGAAAAATTCCAAGAGTCAAGCTCTTAAATACAAGTTTAAGGGGGGAGGGAAGGGGGAGGGGCTTATCTGAATGTGGAAGCCAATGAGTGGAACGTGTTGGGGGGAGTCGGCGGGGCTAAAAGAGAACAGGTGCATCTTGTTGATGTTTTACCCGATGTTGGTTGACAATCCACATACAAAAAAGGAGAGGAGAGATTCTTCTTGGTTCTTTCGGTAAAGTCACGTAGAATGGAAATAATACAATAATAAAAATAAAGCATAAAAAATAAAACAGACCTGTTCTTCGCCTGAGGACGGCTGCTTGCGTTGTGGCCGAAACGTCGTGAGAATTATTTTATGATGTTCTATTTTTATTATTTTATTATTTCCCTTCTACGTTGTTTTTGGGTGAGTTCGTGTGAATATATTCACACGAATATTTTTCCGCGGTCGGACCCACAAACCTTCATTGTGGATAATATTGGGTCACGAAAGCCATCTTAAACTTAGGACATTTTTTTTTATTACTCGACACTTTGTAGAGTTTGCTTCTGTGTGTTAATAAAGGCGGCTTCCGCTATTGTCACTATCGCTGCCACTTGCAGGATAGAAGATAATTAAGCCAGACAACTGTTGGTCGGTAGCTATCTTCTTAATCCGTTCATCAAAGGAGCACAACGATTGTAAAACGGGTAAACAAATCAACGGACCTGCACACACCCCAATACACGCCCGTGCAATGTCATATATTTGTAAAAACTTGACTGGACATGTATGCACATGTATACACCTGGATACACTTAGACACACCTACATCCATCTACACAAACATACACCTGTGTACACCTTACACACCTACACACACCGGCGAATACCTATATACACCTATACACACACCTGTATCCACCTACACCTGTGCACGCCTGTATGCACCTGCAGACAGGTGGATTTCACGTCGACATAAAACTTCGCGCACACCTGTGTAGATACCTGGGGGGATCGGGAGGCGGGGGAGAAACTCAGGTGCGTGGGCGCTCATGTGTTCACAGGTGCGAGCCACTGGCAGCAATGTTCACATGGAGGGGTGTGGGGCTGGAGGGGGGGGATGGGGGCAGTTGAGGGGGGGGCACTTAAATTCCTTCGAGCGTGGAGGATGAAGGACTGCGCGTGGTGCGTGCCAAGGTGGGGATTGTAAAGTGGCACAATCAGTGTTGACGCGTTGTCGCGCAGGTAATTGTTGGGTGATGACTCTGAAAGAATGGGAGAGGTTGGTGGGGGGGGGTTAATTTTCCGATACGGACTGTAGACTGAGCGCGCATTCGGCGTGACGGTGGAGGTATGAGAATATTTTGAGTTGCCACTCATCCCCAACTCACGTTCTCTCCGCTGTCATCTCACTCTACTCCCCTCCACGCACTCCCCTACCTCTCCCCTCTCATCTCACTCTACTCCCCTCCACGCACTCTCCTACCTCTCCCCTCTCATCTCACTCTACTCCCCTCCACGCACTCTCCTACCTCTCCCCTCTCATTTCACTCTACTCCCCTCCACGCACTCTCCTACCTCTCCCCACGCATCTCACTCTACTCCCCTCCACGCACTCTCCTACCTCTCCCCACGCATCTCACTGTACTCCCCTCCACGCACTCTCCTACCTCTCCCCTCTCATCTCACTCTACTCCCCTCCACGCACTCTCCTACCTCTCCCCTCTCATCTCACTCTACTCCCCTCCACACACTCTCCCCTCTCATCTCACTCCACTCCCCTCCACGCATTCTCCTACCTCTCCCCTCTCATATCACTCTACTCCCCTCCACGCACTCTCCTACCTCTCCCCTCTCAGCTCACTCTACTCCCCTCCACGCACTCTCCTACCTCTCCCCTCTCATCTCACTCTACTCCCCTCCACGCACTCTCCTACCTCTCCCCTCTCATCTCACTCTACTCCCCTCCACGCACTCTCCTACCTCTCCCCTCTCATCTCACTCTACTCCCCTCCACGCACTCTCCAACCTCTCCCCTCTCATCTCACTCTACTCCCCTCCACACACTCTCCCCTCTCATCTCACTCCACTCCCCTCCACGCATTCTCCTACCTCTCCCCTCTCATATCACTCTACTCCCCTCCACGCACTCTCCTACCTCTCCCCTCTCAGCTCACTCTACTCCCCTCCACGCACTCTCCTACCTCTCCCCTCTCATCTCACTCTACTCCCCTCCACGCACTCTCCAACCTCTCCCCTCTCATCTCACTCTACTCCCCTCCACACACTCTCCCCTCTCATCTCACTCCACTCCCCTCCACGCATTCTCCTACCTCTCCCCTCTCATATCACTCTACTCCCCTCCACGCACTCTCCTACCTCTCCCCTCTCAGCTCACTCTACTCCCCTCCACGCACTCTCCTACCTCTCCCCTCTCATCTCACTCTACTCCCCTCCACGCACTCTCCTACCTCTCCCCTCTCATCTCACTCTACTCCCCTCCACACACTCTCCTACCTCTCCCTCTCATCTCACTCTACTCCCCTCCACACACTCTCCTACCTCTCCCTCTCATCTCACTCTACTCCCCTCCACGCGCTCTCCTACCTCTCCCCTCTCATCTCACTCCACTCCCCTCCACGCACTCTCCTACCTCTCCCCGCTCATCTCACTCCACTCACCCTCCACGCGCTCTCCTACCTCTCCCCTCTCATCTCACTCTACTCCCCTCCACGCACTCTCCTACCTCTCCCCTCTCATCTCACTCTACTCCCCTCCACGCACTCTCCAACCTCTCCCCTCTCATCTCACTCTACTCCCCTCCACACCCTCTCCCCTCTCATCTCACTCCACTCCCCTCCACGCATTCTCCTACCTCTCCCCTCTCATATCACTCTACTCCCCTCCACGCACTCTCCTACCTCTCCCCTCTCAGCTCACTCTACTCCCCTCCACGCACTCTCCTACCTCTCCCCTCTCATCTCACTCTACTCCCCTCCACGCACTCTCCTACCTCTCCCCTCTCATCTCACTCTACTCCCCTCCACACACTCTCCTACCTCTCCCTCTCATCTCACTCTACTCCCCTCCACACACTCTCCTACCTCTCCCTCTCATCTCACTCTACTCCCCTCCACGCGCTCTCCTACCTCTCCCCTCTCATCTCACTCCACTCCCCTCCACGCACTCTCCTACCTCTCCCCGCTCATCTCACTCCACTCACCCTCCACGCGCTCTCCTACCTCTCCCCTCTCATCTCACTCTACTCCCCTCCACGCACTCTCCTACCTCTCCCCTCTCACCTCACTCTACTCCCCTCCACACACTTTCCTACCTCTCCCTCTCATCTCACTCTACTCCCCTCCACACACTCTCCTACCTCTCCCTCTCATCTCACTCTACTCCCCTCCACGCGCTCTCCTACCTCTCCCCTCTCATCTCACTCTACTCCCCTCCACGCACTCTCCTACCTCTCCCCGCTCATCTCACTCCACTCACCCTCCACGCGCTCTTCTACCTCTCCCCTCTCATCTCACTCTACTCCCCTCCACACACTCTCCTACCTCTCCCTCTCATCTCACTCTACTCCCCTCCACGCACTCTCCTACCTCTCCCCTCTCATCTCACTCTACTCCCCTCCACGCACTCTCCTACCTCTCCCCTCTCATCTCACTCTACTCCCCTCCACACACTCTCCCCTCTCATCTCACTCCACTCCCCTCCACGCATTCTCCTACCTCTCTCCTCTCATATCACTCTACTCCCCTCCACGCACTCTCCTACCTCTCCCCTCTCAGCTCACTCTACTCCCCTCCACGCACTCTCCTACCTCTCCCCTCTCATCTCACTCTACTCCCCTCCACGCACTCTCCTACCTCTCCCCTCTCATCTCACTCTACTCCCCTCCACACACTCTCCTACCTCTCCCTCTCATCTCACTCTACTCCCTCCACACACTCTCCTACCTCTCCCTCTCATCTCACTCTACTCCCCTCCACGCACTCTCCTACCTCTCCCCGCTCATCTCACTCCACTCACCCTCCACGCGCTCTCCTACCTC